GAGCCACTGACAAACGAGCGGGTAGTCGGCGGCCGGGCGCGACGGCCGCGAGCAGACGCCGAGCGGACAGACGGGCTGGTCGAGAGGGCCGGCGGAGAGGCCTGCGAAGTGGGCCTCGGCGAGGCGCGAGTACGCGGCCGGGTTGACCGGGCCGAAAGGGTAGCCGGCGGAAGGGCTGCCAGCGGCCGCGTAGCCGACCGCCTGACCCAGGCCGTAGGCTGGGCTGGGCCGAGTGAGGCCGGGCGCGCCGGTCGTGGCCTCGGCGGACAGACTGTCAGTGAGACGCGTGGGCGGCGCGCCGTGCGCAGAGCAGGTGGGCGGTGGCGACGACGAGGCGGTGTGCTGCTGCACCATCAGCACGCCGAACTGGCCCGGCTTGTCGGACGCGCAGGCAGCGCGCGGCCTCGACGCGACGAACAGGCCTTCGCCGCCCACGCCTGATTTGGACGCGGCAGCAGCCGCAGCGTAAGCCGCGGCGGCGGCCGCCGCTGCTGCGGCAGTGGCAGCCGAACTGGATGACTCATCGCTCGAGCAGCAGCCGGACTCGCCGCAGCCGACAGGCCCTGAGGCCGCGGCCACTGCCGCCGCCTCCTGCTGCTGCAGGCAGCGGTAAATCTGCTCCTGACGCTGATGCGGATTGTGCTGATGCCCGTGTTGGCCCTGCTGATGGTGCGGATGCTGGTGGTGGTGATGAGAGTGGTGCGTCAGGTGGTGGCTCGCCTCTTGCTGATGCTGTTGCTGCTGCTGCTGATGCGGCTGCTGATGATAAAGGGTGGCGTAAGAGCTATTCGGGGAGGTGTTCATGCGCGCAGCCGCCGCGGCCGCCGCCGCTGCAGCCGCCGCAGCCGCGGCCGCCGCTGCTGCTGCTGCCGTGGCGCCGGCGTGCGGCGTGAACGCGGTCAACAGGTCGGCCGTCTGGCAGGTCGTCATGTCCGTCTCTGCCTGCAGGCAGCTGGGCCCGGGCGTCCAAACCGTCGGCTCGGCCACCGAATGCCCACCTCCGAGGCAGTAGGCGGCCGTTGTGACTCCGGTCGGATATCGATGGCTGCTCACCAGCCCATCCTCCATCCGCGAAGCCGACTCGTTCTGACTCGATTGTGTGTATGCATTCAGCGCCGCCAGACTCGCCATTGACTGCTGCTGGTAGGTGTACATCCTCGAGACTGCGGCCACCACACACGTGTCTTCCTGACCGGTTGTCCCTGTGTGCGCGTCTATCTTCCTCTGTATGTATGACGGTGCCTTTGTGTGTGTGTGTGTGTGTGAGAGAGAGAGAGTGTGAGTGTGGGCGTGTGTGCGTTTAACTTTCGATCTGTTAGACGAGAGGAGAGTGCATTGCGCTCGAATCTCCTCCACTCGGGCTCGTCTCCGCTGACTGTTTCTGGGTCGTCGAGGCGCCGTCAGATCGAGTCAAGCATCGGTCGACAGCACCACCCTTTTCTCCTCGAAACCCGACCACGATGGATCGAGGCTCGACGAAGCAAAGAGGCGACC